CTTGGATTGAAGAGTTTTGTGTACAACAGCGATTTAGGCCAAAAACATCCTTTCAGTATATTTTTATACAATGATAAGACCTTACGGCACATCTTTAATAAGTCAATGTAAGCAGAATGTGTCACTATAATGTGAACAAGTAAGTGCTTGTATTTAATAATTCAATGAAAACATACAATTTTAAGGATTGTGTGCCGCTTTTCTACATTTACGTGAATTAGGCTATTGATTGGTAAGGATAAACGAAGCATGAATGAAATTCTAAGAACTATGTTCCCGAATAACTCGACATATACTTGGTGAGGTTGGACAAATTATATGACACCATACATAACTTAGTGGTCGTATCCAATAAAACACTCTATTTTAATTATGCACTATTCCAACAAACTTTTTATTGTTCTTAAGTTAAAATAAAATAAATTTATTTTACAATTACTTGTAACCTTCGAAATTATGTGACGTAAAACGACATAATAAATTACTTTTTGGTCCTGGACAAATCATTTTTGGTATCAGATCTAAAATAAACAAACAAACAGAAGATAAAGAACGAAATGTAAACATTACTTTAAACGAATTGCTGCCGATTTGTGGTGACATTTAGTAGAACAATTAAATATTACATTGGGATGTAAATGATAAGCTGTCCCAACAAACTTAAATAACAGTAATAATATGTTTGTATGAAATAGATTTTAAGTGGTCTGTTTTTTTGTAAGTAACATTCTCAATAGCACAAAATTTGAAAACTACATAGTTGAGTTACGCTGACTGAACACACAGTCATTAACATACAATATTTGAAGAAGCATTTTTCTACTTTCAACTTTCAATACGAGCTTTCTTGAAGACTGTTTCATGTTTGTATTGTTCTTTAAGATTTAAGATTTGTCAATGTATCGGAAATAATTTTTCATAAAACTACAACCTATAACCATATGAAATAGTTAACGAGTTTAAAAGTTGAACACTGTTTGTTTATGATGATTGTGTCTGTTAATTAGTGTGAGAAATAGGAGGTGGAGTCGGTACAAAAAGAAAATTTACAGAAACGTTATTATTGGTAAGCGAATAAGTGATTTTATGAAACTAGCCAGGTATATGATGGATACATTTGTGCTCTAGGACTATATTGTTCTCTTTAGTAAAGAGATAAGATAGTCCTTATGTGTAATTTAAAGCCAGTCATATGTACTTTTCAGAAAACAATATTCGATTTATGCTTGGAATTTTCGAAGCGTAGAATCAAGTTGAACTAATATTGTTTTGATAAACGAGGTGGAATCAGCTAATTGGAAAGTTATGGTAAGAGGATTATTTAGGTGATATCAGAAGATTCTAGGAACATCAAGTGAGATTTAAAGATGGATGAGTAAATACTTACAGGTTGAATAGTTCACAAACTTTTCAAAGTTGAAGCTGCTATTTTGTAAAGACCTCACCACTACTCCAAGTTTATACGTCTTGTTTAGTTCCAGTGAGTCGAATTCATAATAGTTGTGTTGTGTTTCATATTCACATCTTTTGTCATCAGTTTCAGTGAAAGCTAGTATTTTGTGGGGGCACAAAATCTCCTTGTTTGTGTTTAGCGTCCAATTTAAGTGAATTATTCTATTATTCGTATTTTGTAACAATTGAATACTTAAGTTTTGTGCAACAGGAAAGTTTTCAGCTAAAATTACAAATTAATGAGACGGATGTAATGGTTAACAAACATTTCAAAATGAAGGATAAACACACGTTCATACTGTGAATCTAGAATCAACGGAGACAGGCTTTAGGAAACCACGTTGTATTTTTCTTCAAATGTTTGTAAATACTTCAATGAATGACTGTTAATCTCTTCACACGCTCGATCCGATTGGAATATATTCTTTAACTCACGAACCTGTATAAAATGAAACTCACACACTGTAGACAGTTGATGATTAGATTATTGTTTCACTAAAAAGAAGGGACAGTTGGTTCAAGAAAAACAGAAACCATTTGTTCAAATAAGAGGAAATAGACGCTTGTTTTGGAACATCGCAATATATTCAGTATACCATCAGTTAATAATTAATGAATAAAATAAAATGGAGAAGCGCACAATACACTGTGCATTTGACTTACATTTTAAGACGAATGGAGTTATTTCAGTTAGTGTAATTGGTTCGGATCCAAAAGCTTGATAACCATTCAGCACTATTTTTGTAGGACAAGTTCTTAATGGAATGACAATGTCGCTTAACAATGAGGTATTGGCTGTGAATCCTGTATCAGTTTTGATGACTAATCCATCAGGATTTACAAATGAGAAGTAATCATTCCGTGTTAAAATTAAATCACTTCCATTAATGTGAAAATCGAAGGGGGATAGTGTCCTTGCTGCAGAAGTGATTTTGGCATTAAAGGGAGAAATGTGGTACACTTTCATTATTCTCGATCAGAACATTAGAAAAGAAGAACTATTAGAACTATTTAACAACAAACATCCAGCAATTAAATTTACATATGAAGAGGAAATAGAAAGTTTAAAATGATTTCTTTACAAGTATTATTTCTCGTCTCTATCTTTATCCTCAGATTTTGGTGAATTTTCTTTGTAAACTTGTTTAGCATCCAAACTATTAAATGACAAATATATTGACCTGGCTTCAGCTTACTGACCGTCGATGTACCTTAATTTTAATATAAATAAGTATTTTTCAACAGCTGTTCCTTAGTTAGGAAATACCAGAGTTTCGCCTGCCATTTGTGTCAACACATATCACATTAAAACCAAATACCTAAGACTCTGATAAGTAGTCTGTGTCATGAAGACTGCTTTCACAACGCGTTTGTATTACAATAAAATCTATGAAAATCATTTTGATATTTTTCAATATTTCGGTTTAACATAGAGTGAAAAACACGGTTTTGATCAGCTCATAGATCCGATTCGGTCATCTAGAGACTGTGGACTTCAAAATAATTCCAGACAGATTATATTTTAATTAGCCGAGATACTACAAAGTGAATGTATTGTGTTTCATTTCATAAATACTGTCACATAGTGACTCGAAACGCACGTGAAATATCAAACTACTTCCGTGATGTCTGTTTATTACAAAAGGACTAATTCAACAAGACAATAGACACAAGTAAGAAATCCGAAATATATTCTCATTTTTCTGTTTGGAAATCGGTCATTTATTTTGCTTCGCGTTCATATAAATATGAATTGAACGAATGTGGTTAGTGTTTGTAATTATTAAGATACGGAAATGATGAGATGTGTCTCCATGTTTCTATTAACTCTTCTGCTCACTATTCAGGTCATTCCGGGTAAGTGAGTTATGGCTATAATAATTGTCAACAAATAAATTTGTTGTCGATCCATTAAATCGAATGAATTCCCTGTATAATTTAGTTTGTTGGACCGTTTATCATACACATGTTAGTATCACTACCGACATTTAATCTGGTTCATGACTGTCCGTATCTGCTTTCTGTTTGTGTAGAATTGACTAGTATGATTTATTTACATTATTTGAAGTTTTATTTTCTATACAGAAACAGAGTATTTACTATGTGATCGTCAGTGTCACAATTCTGTTAAATAGATTATACCAGGGTCATCAAGATTCGTGTACTTGAAATTGAAAAAACTTGAAAATGCTGAGTTGTGTTTACGTAGTTTGATTTGCTCAATAGATTGATCATCGCTACATTGAACATTTTAAGAAACGTCATAATTTTAGTTTAATGTGTACTTAACACAATACTATCGTTTTCCGTGAAATTTTTACTTTGATTTCATTATATAACTCCACGTATTACATATTTGTAAAATCGACTCCAAGCTATTTCTATTTTGTAAATCTGATTGTGGAATTATAAGATTATTTACATATGTCGTCAGTTCCTCCATAGTGATCTTTAGTATACTTTGTATTTCTAAGGAACCAGTTTAGATATTTTTAGTGAATAATAGATGTCCTTATTCTGTAACTTTGTAAGTTGGCAGTCATTTATGTTTTATATCAGTCATCTTTATCATCATCGAAAGTATGCTATTAAGAAATTTTAATTTGCATTCAACAAATCATATTTTAAACACCACAACAGTATCACATCATTGTATTGTTTTGATAAAAAGAAACAGTTATTCATAGCTTTCATAATAAATATTCGCATTTAATTTTGAACAGTTATTTTCACATCTCCAGTTACGAAATGACCTAAATATTGATTGTTCCCAAGTAGGACGAAACTCGTTTCCTGGATTCCACTGTTAGCAACCATCCATCTTTGCTTATAATTTAAAGTTAACGTTTATGCATAAGAATTGTTTATCTGGAATTTGTTTCTCTGACCTTTATTTGTTTATTATTGTGTAACGGAAACAATAATACGATTATTTTATCAACAGTTTATTTTTCTGTTGCACAACAAGCTGTATAATGTCATATAATGGTATATAATTTACAATAGATTCGAGAAATTCTCCGTTGATAACAATTTATAACTTAATCCTAATTTTCACATTGAAGTCAAATGTGTAGTTTATAATTGAGATCATGAACCGATTGATGTTAGACCACCACAATTGAAAACCTTGAAGCACTGGACGGCCGTTTCGTCCTGTTGTGGGACTCCTCAGCAGTGCGCATCCACGAGTCCCACAATAGGACGAAACGGCCGTCCAGTGCTTCCAGGTTTTCTATTGTGGTGGTCTAACATCAATCGGCTCATGATCTCAGTCAAAAACCTTATAATCTCCACAACCCCTATACTAGTGAAGTTTATAATTATATCTACACATACTATTTTGATTTCACTTTATTGATAGGCTTTGTGCATACTTAATTATTAATTAATATAACAACCTTATGTATACAGATATACGGAAATCAGTTTTTTAGCTAGCTTATTTTTCATTTCTTTCAGTGAAAAATTTATTTGAAGACTTGAAAATTCAAATAAACAGATTTGGTCGGACAATATATATTTCAAGTGAAAAGTCTAGTGAAATGATGCCTGGAATCATAGTGAATACTTCATTAGGTCATGTAATAAACTGGAATGTTTCGGATAATATAATACCTCTTCATGCGATATATTGTCAACCTTTCATTGTTCAAATTAGTTTTAATGGAACAATATTAAGTACAAGTATTTTTAACATCACACCAGAAGGTCAGTCAAAATGTTTAATGTATAAATATTATGTGACAAAATTTGTTTCTGTACATATTAGGATTCGTATTAGGAGCACAAATATCATTCCCAGATAAAATTTATCACAAAAACAGTTCTATGAATCAATAAATCAATGATTTGATTCGTCATAAAAATGTGATAAAATTGAAATAATCCTTATTTTATGTTAGTCTTGATGCCGAAAAACAGGTATGGCTGAAACAATTCGGACCGATTCCTAATGCATTACAGTGATCTCCACAAATTCTTCTGTTACTTAACTTTTATTCATATAATTGTTGTTATTATGGGACCGGTGTAGATACAAGAGAATCGGATCAAATGAATAACTTTTGATCAGCCATCACAAAATGATCTAGTTAATGTTTTAATCAGTCGTCGAATTGAAAATAAATCACAGATTTAACACCAACTACGCTGTACATAAACTGGTAAACATAGAAGATATGAAAATAAAATTATCTTCATTTAGGCATTTTTTTCTTACTGAATGCTTGTAATTATGTCAGCAGCTGATCCTTTCTTCAAGCATTTTATATTCTAATTTTTCAATAATTACTATGCTCTGTTGATTGAAGTTTTATTTTTTTATCCTAATGGGTGTATATATTTAATTAGATGGGAAACTAGAGGGTAGTTGGAAACAATATGCACTGACCGACAACAAAACTGGAACAGTAACTCACTATGCAGTTTTGAAACTTTAGCTGGAAGTGATTGTAAACTTTCTGTTGTTGGCAGTTATCAAAACACTGCTGGACGATGCACATACAAGAGAGGGAGTGGGGATTCATCGTTGAATTTTTTGAAATCAAATACATCTTATACTCTTCAATGCTTAGATCAGTCCGGTTACACCGAAGTCAGCTCTCTACCACATAACATTGGTAAGTATTATCTAAAATATGATGAATAACATTTAAATGCATAATCTCTATAATTCTACCTGGTAATATTCGTTTTAAACCAGTTTGCAATTGAAGCTGAATACGCACCCAACATAAGTGTATATATAACAGCTTCAAGCGCTGTAGATTTGTAAAGATATTGAAAAATTAACCAAGCTATAATATTTGTCAATCTTGTATGTCAAATGAAAGTGTTTTATTGTGAACACTGCGGTAGATAATGGGGCACTAAGCTAAATCTGGTCAATATGAAAACGGTTAGATCGTTGCATTCAGTCTACAGCTTCAACTTATATATTTTTAAATATTTTTGTTTTATGTTCATCCTACAAACATAAAACACCTCACAGAAGTGTTCAATAAGCGTATTTTGCTTTATAAAATTTGATAAGTGGAAGTAAAACCTACAAGAGATATGAAAAAAAGATACTGGAATAAACGTTAATCTTGTATTCCTATATCGATGTTGTTTAAAGTTTTATATTTTATACGATCAAATGGATTGATTACCGAGCAATTTCATAGCATACATAAACAAATTAATAAGCCTTTAGAATTTGAGTGTGTTTCTTCCACTAGTTTGTTAGCATAGTGGTGTCTGCAATATCGCTGTATTTAAACTTTGAATTCGTATGAGAGTGGTATGTTGCTGAAAAAAATATGTTTTGAAATGTAGTAGTCAGTTAAAATTTCACTTTTAATTAAATGTGTTGTCTAGACGATATTTAGTTTAGCAATAAGCCAATTGATCATCATGTACACGATTAATTTGTATCCTGTTAATCTCAGTTTACGACAATGCTCAATGTTAAACACCTTTTATAATTGAGACATTGAAGAGAGCGTTGTTAAGTACAGTATCTTTTGTAATAGAATATATATATTCAGGTTGTTACTCTTTATAACAGTAGATCAAAAAATGGAGTCAATATAGACAACGATACAACAGTGATAAGGAAAATGAGAGTAGTAAACTGTGTGCTTACAACCATAAACATAGTTTCACTTATCCCTTAAGTTTCTCACGAATAAAGTGATGACTTCATGAAGCGTGGATTGATTCCAGTAGGTTTTACATTTAAAACATCGATGATGATCAAAGTTGACAGGTAGATATTTAAATCAAACAGACAGCTAAACAGCATTCATTTGCTGTAGCAAGATTTCGATAATCGTATAAACAAGAAACGACCATTTGATTACAATACAAGCATTTTCAATGGACCATTAATTTTAAATTGTTCAACAAAGTGATATTGAAATACTTATTATTTTTATTCGATTATCCAGGCAATGATCAAAGGAATATTTTTCTTGAAAATCTTCATAACTCTCAACTCCCAGATCCCGATGAAGAAGACAGGTGTCCAACTGAACAAGGTTATTCCGTATTTTTATACTTAAATAACAAAGTTATCTGACATATTGAAACGCTGTCATGTAAACAGACAATATACAGGTCGTTTTCGTTTCCACAGATGACATATGAGTCATTTTACTCGCAGTATTTTGAAGCAAATGCAATACAGCTTATCAGTAAAATTTCACTGTAGATGGGATTGAACAGTGATATTTATAGTAGTATATGTGGTTGGGATAGTTAAACTACAAGGGTTGTATTCTAAATTAGGTCTTTCATTCATAAACAAACTACCAGTAAGCTAATTGATTTGAAATCCCAAGATACTTTGATTGAAGCTGAATTAATGAAGCTACCACCTCTCAAAAGGACATGATAGTGCAAGTACAATACGTCGAATTAACTTTGACATTTAAATTAGGTACGTATTAGTTATATTTCATGTACATTTGATAGTATAACGAAACTACTGAAGCGAATTACGTTTATTCCATTTATCTGTTTGTTTAGGCTTTTTGACTTCATCTCTGTTTTGCACTCTTTGATGTTGCATTAAACAGACTGTCCTCTTCGAATACACTATTTCAAAGATCTTCTTATTCAACATATGGTTTGACAATGACAGACAAACAGTAGATTAGCAGTGTCTAGATCGATGTGTTTGTGAAGACATTTAAGACAAACGCGTATTTGGGATTGGTTCTCATTAATAAAAGCGCGAGCAAACATTTATGTCACCCCTCCACAGCACTGTTCGTTTTTTCGTAAGACAGTTTAACGTATTTAGATTTGAATATTCGAATTATGTGCTATTTCACATAATAGTCCATTATCGACCATCTACTACAAGTTCGTATGTATTGCTACCTTCTTATGCTTCTTTTTATGTACCGTTGTTGTCCGTCTTGTGGCCCTCTACAACAGAATCCTAGGAGTTTCACAGTGCGATTGAAAAATCGATTCGATGAGTCCTCCATGTCCTTCTGGTCTCACGATCAAGATGTCTTTAAAATAGTTTGCTAACTCTTTGATTTCCTCGTCATTCACTATGCAGAACGGTAACTCTATTCGACTACCAAATACAACCATGATATCTACGACCGTATGAATGCTAACGCTGTCAAATGATGAATCTGCAAATCAAAATTCTCGTCTGTCATATAACGTCGCTAAAGGTTACCTGATTGTTGAAGACTCATCATAAACACTGCCTCTGATGGGATAGGTAACCTTGTTGTATTACGCATGTATAAGATATTGTAGAAGTGTATTTGGATGCTTATTCAAGCTAACTAATGTTAAGAAGCTGTTTAAACGTTTCTATCTGCCAAACGTAAATCTAAGTACGGTTTCAACTGAAACAAATGATTATGTAAACTATATACTTACTTAATAACCGTACATTAATAATATTATTAATAATTCCATGAGGCCCACCTTATATGTTCCACCTGTTCATCTCATTATTTCTCAATAAAACCTAGTCATTTGATCCTTGTTGCCAAACACGCCAACATTTAATGAATGACGCTGAGTATGAATTTTTGGTTATAAAATTTAGGCATGTTTTCGTTTTTATTGCTCTACATGTATTGCAAATCCATTCCGGTAAGGAGTAAAAACTATCTCCTAGAATGCAATTAGCTGATTTCGTACATAGTTGTTTCAGTTTTAACTCTAATCAAATATTTTATTCCCCCCCCCAAAAAAAACATAGTTACGAATTCATTTTATATATTATTGCATTTTTATTGCAAATACTTAATCGTAATCAAGCTTATAACTTTCGCATTTTCGGCCACCTGAAATTGTCTGACATGCTCTTGATCTGTTGGAAATCCAATCCATAAACATCCCTTTCAATAGATTATATCCCAACTCTTCTAAATAGATGTACGAGATAATAGAACTAGGGTATTAACTGTAGCAATTTGTGACCGAATTTGGAAAATTCATTGTTTATTAAAAGTAGACTCTTCATCACACGTTTAGATAAATACATTCCGACTAGTCGTAAGGCAAAGGGATAGAGGATAAATCGAACATGTTTCACACCATTAAAACTGTTATTCTTCTTGACAATGATCTTTAACAAAGTGCACCCTCTGAAGCTCACTCTTACTGGCGTGCGCTTTTTCCACTCGTATTTTAGCCCGCTCACTTTTAAATAGATACCTTCGGAATCTAATCGATCCGAAATATGTTCTCAAGAACTAACATCACCAAGTTTCTGCTTTGTTTCGACAGAATACATTGATTATTTAAATATGAAGTGCATTTTTAGAGCATTCTTCAAAGTAACATCTTTTAAACATGTTATTGTTTGTGTTATATTTGTTATCTTTATAATCAAAGGCTGAGGATAAATGAATTTAGTAAGACCTAGAATACAAATGTTTTTAAGTAAATATTTCAATAATTGAATTCACTAGCATATACACTAGTAATGAATGAATGGGATTGAATGAATACAACTAGATATGTTTAATAGTAGAATTGGATTAACGCAAAATGTAGATCTCTTTGCAAGTGGATCAGATTTATATTGACACTGGCACCTAGTATCACCAAGAGTTGTATTTTAGTGACGAATTTAGGACTTCATTAGACTGACCTAAACCGCATTGTGTTGAAATGAATACAAACCGTCCAAAGTGTCAATAAGTCAACGTGTCTCAAATATTTATAGATCAATATAATAATAGAATACGATTAATAGGAATAATGTTTAAGGATATGAAACTTATTTTAGAAGCCCTACCATTTTCCAACCAGTCAAAAGCGTCATTTAGCCGACCAATCAAATCTCTGTAATCGGACTCATAAAAGTAGTGAATTCGTTTTAGAAATATCATTTCTAGTCAGCGCTGTTGTCAGCCAAGTCTGTTTCAATTAGTGAAGCTGAGTTGATTTTAAGAGAGATGATCGTTTGCGTAGGATTTTCGAAGGAAGCGGAACACTTGAGACGATTGCGAGCTTATGAAAATGTAACTTCTATAATAGGGGACAGTCGACGAAATCCAGATGATTTTTTTATAAAATATGTATTTCAAAGTAAGGATCACCCTCAGTGATGAACAACTCAAGCTACACGATCTCCGCCTGACACGGAATATTGTGCATTAAATTTGTGATGAAATGAATAACAGCTTAGTGGTGAACATTATATTTCATTATAGAGTACATATTGTAAAATTAAGTGTGATTTTCACTTATTGTTGATTAAGTTTGTTTTCAGGCCAACTAGCAACTATAAATTTGTGTTTATTAAGAGTTAACTTTCCAATTTCGTCCGATTCGTCCTCATGTACAGTGTATCCACCACTGAGATTCTTTACTACACCATTTTGGCATAATGCATAATTCATCTGTGCAGCAACTGACAGCTGAGCAGTTTTAAATGTCTTCTACTTTTATCCCGTTTATACGTATAGCGACTCAGTTGACATTTAAATCATAATCGAATTTATTCCTAGCGGGATCATTTAAAAATGACTACACATGACTGAAAAACCTTAGTCCCGTGTCTGTATGATTTATGTTAATAAAAATCACTATTCTTTTAATTTCAGTATTTATTTCCAGTATCATGTCTTCCATTCTTCTTTAAGTCTAGTAATGATTATCAGTATTTTATTCAGAGTTTAACAATACTGATTAGTAGGTAAGACATTCGAATTAATCCCACAACTGAGCAAAAATTAACCAACAGAGTCGAATAAATGCAACTGACAGTCACATGGTCACTTAAATATCCTATCCCGAAATGAGTAAACAGATATGTTTGTATAAAATACCATTGTTTATTGTTTATATGTATCTACGGTATCTAAATGTGTATATTTGTTGACAACTCTCTTTCCCCTTCTTCATATCTTCAAAACTCAAGTCATGTTTTGAAAAATATAATCATAATTTAATGTATTTTTAGATTTCCCAAAGTAGAAGGCTTGACAGTCACTGCCATTGCAGAAGGTTCAATTCATTTACTCAGTTGGAATAAGATAAGTGAGAAATTCAGCGAGTGTCTATCATACTATTTATTGGTTCGCGTTCATCGACGTCTAAAACCGAAGTTAATTATACTCTCAGTTATGAAATATCGGGTTGATGGACATTTGAATAATATAATTATGGACATATCAGAAGACCAAAATTACATTTATAAAGTTAAGGCACTTTTCAAAAACTCCATTAAAACCCAATTTTCCGAGCGTGTTGAGATCCAGACGCCAAATGCAGTGAATCATAGTAGGTTCTTCAAATTCGCTGTTTGAAATATAACTTCTCAAATAGATTTTCTAATTTTTTCATAAAGCTTTATGTGATGAGTTTAAATGATTTTGAGTTTTAAATGGTCGGAATGATTAACATGCAAAGATGATGGAACTTATAATGAAAATTAAATTTGTTTCCACAAAATCACCACCCATCTCTAGTATGTTAAACAAGTCATTCCATCAGGAGATAACGAATAACGCCTTTAAGCTCACCGTTTGTTTAATTAGTACATTTAGTATCCCTTGTTGACAGAGGTGCTACTTGTGTTGCGGCTTGTGGTATCTGGTTAATATCTACTTCCAGAGATACAGTGGCAATGACAAAATCTTCGTTTCGAACTCCTGTCTTGCAATGAATCTAGAAAGCATCGGTTTGACTGAAATTTGTTGTAGATTTATATCATGGGCAAACGTTGCAAGCGATTAGCAATAAACACTAGGACGCCGAACTTGGACCTGAAAATCGAAAGAATGTGTTTGAGGCCCATAAACAATGTAAGTAGACACTCATAAGTCGTTTTATGAAACTTCTTGATAGCGAAAATCAAAGTCAACCCTACATTTTCTATTTGACTATACTTTCGTTGTCGCATTTAGAGATCTCAATGGATGATCTAGAGGTTTTCCCTCACCTTTGGAAAAAGGGGCTGATAACAGATCCAATACCATAATCAAAAGTGTCAGCGGAAACAACTATCGCCTATTTCGGGTGGTAATGAGTCAGTAATAAATGAGAGTATGAGATTTTCTTGATATTATCTAAGGAATTTTAACACTCATCTGACCATTTCCATGTTGTATTAGCTGTTAAGAGCTGATTTAACAGACGGTGTAGTGTCTGCATAGCCAGAATAAATACGCTATAATATTCAATCATGCCGACAATGATTGCAATGCCATTATATCAGTCAGCGGAAGCATTTGTTTATTGGTATATATATTATCCGGATCCGGTCGACGACCGTGTTTATCAAATCCAAATCCAAGATACTTAAAAGATCCAAGAAATAGTGCACAATTACTTTTTGCAGTTGAAAACCAGACTCTGATATTTTTGCAAGCATTTATTCAAACGAGACAATAATCCATAACAATATCATCCAAGTAGGCGCCAGCACCATCAAGATTCGATATCACAATAACTATTAACTGTTGAAAAATTTCGGTAGATGGTTTTATACCGAATAGCAATCTTTTGTTTTGGTAAAGTGCAAGATGAGTATTTATGGTCAGAAAACATTTAGAATCAGTATCAACTTTCACCTGAAAACAGACATCAGATAAATCGAGTTTTGCAAAATAACGTCCATCATTAAGTTTTATGAATAAATCTTCAGGTCAAGGTAGTGGATATGAATGATTTTCAAAGCATTATTTAGTCCAGTAGAGTAATCACCACATAGACGAATAGTTCAGTTGGCTTTTTGAACTATAACCATAGGAGCTGACCATAATGAGAAAGTAACTGGTTGTATAACTCCAAGTTTTTTTAACCGCTCGAGTTCTTTATCAACCTTATTCATGGAGGCATAAGGTACTTGTCGTTTCGGGCGGAAAACTGGTTACACTCCATGTTGTAAATACAGTATAGCTTTCCTAATAGTACAACATTCCAATGTGTTCTGGAGCAAATTTGAATGTTTTTCAAAAGGATCTGACTCTGTCAACGTTTTAGCGTTGGATGTTACATATAGAGCATGTGAGTTACTTTGAATCCAAGAGTCATTTAATATAAATACTGTTGTGACTTTTAAGCCCGCTAATTATCACGTGACTTATTCCCCAATCAGAATACAACTTATACAATCTTATCACTGTGCCATACCAATGACGCATCGATCGGCATGAACAGCCTAGCATCCTTATTGGCCCCTTTTCCTCCTAGCCCTGCTAGTTAAGTCCAGAACACCAAAACCAGCTTCCATTATACGAATCATTCATTTCAAACATACTTGGTTTATATACAACCCAAACAGACCACATCACACCATAAAATAGGAAATAATAGTTGTACATGATCAAGCCAAAAAGTGACTGTGACTGTTGGAGACGGTAATCAATAAACAGTTATACAATTAGAGTATATATATATATATATATATATATATATATATATATATATATATATCAATCCACTTAGTGCCAACAGGATCCAATTCATGTCTACTCGTTGAATAACATGTCCTGTCAAAAGAATAATATCTAAATTGAACAATCCACTCGATCATTCCGACGAGTTTTAGAATATCCACACCTGCGTAACGAGATGTATGTTCTTTCAGTAATGTTGGACGACTCACCAATAATTTCCATGTCTTTCTAGAAGCGACTGTAATAATAGATGCTCTCTCTAATTATGTTAACAGAACCACGTATCTTCTTTTGTCAGCTAAACTGCATGGAATTGTTGAAAATATACCATGATTATACTTAATGTGACTCTAGAAAAACGTTATAACATATATTACATTGGTGACTTCGATAAGGACAAGTCTGGGCCAAAACACAATTTTATAGCATTCTTTATTTGGACTTAGGGTAATTGCCAACATTAACGTTACTTCTCGTGCTTGATTTTACGGAATGAACATGATAATTCGCCAAAGTTTCTTCTCTAGTTTCCACAATTGCTGTGTCATATTTCAGATTAAGCAGGCGTTGACACTATACAGTGGTCGTTTATAATTTCATTTCATCATCTTGTTCAATATGGGCTAATAATCGTGTTCGTATATTGGCATTTGTGGAAGTTTATAATCCAGAAACAAATAATGAACATTTAAGTTGGTCATTTGAAAATACATTTATTTCGAAACTCAGCTTGTAGATTAATCCTGCTTACGTACATCAAATAATCTTCATCAGCATCCTTTTTAACTGGAGGTATTTGTAACGAATATGAAGTAATGATGTTTGTTCATAAAATATCACGTTCAAAATACTAGTGATTTGACCAAAAATCAACTCCCTTGGGTGTTTTGGCAAGATAAAATTTTGTATTTGGAGTATACCGGTAAATAAATCCCAATAATAAATAGTTCTGTAAGTCTTTGAAATTGGTGCTGACCACATTAGTTTTACTAGAAACACCCTATCTGAAGGAGCTCAGTCACGCATCAACACCAGATCACAAGTGGGTACACCGTGCCACGCATCTCTCGCAACTACTAGTCAACTTAAACCAAGCACTTCTCAACATATCGACAGCTTTCCAAATATATCTTCAAACCCCTTCATTTCTAACCTCTAATTTGAGTGGGTTGGTATACTTTGATTATAAAGGTGTTACGTGTAAATAAACTGTCAAGTTTCGAATACCCGTGACATCTTTAGAATATTCTTATGGGCTGTTTCGGTGTCAGCCATCGTATCTTCTTTGCTTCCTCTTCATCTTGATGGTCCATTTGAAAAAGATCTTTCATTCTAGTAAACCATGATTTAAATGCATGACCATTTTCTGTATCAAAAATAAATTCTGCGACTAAATTAAATGTCCTGGTGCTTATCAGGACTAGATTGAACATTTTGGCATAAGTGGTGCAGGCACCTGTTCTTGAGAATCTAAAAATTGACTTTGCTAATCCTGAAGAAATAATTGCATTTGCTCGGAAATAGTGGACATATTGATTTTCTCCTTCTGCATGATTCCGGTCACTAATTAAAAACTGAATGGCTGATGGTCTTGACAATACAAATATCAAGACAGTTATACTGTATGGGGCGGAAACGTGGAGAACTACGAAAGCCATCATCCAGAAGATACAAGTGTTTATTAATAGCTGTCTACGCAAAATACTTCCGATCCGTTGGCCAGACACTATCAGCAATAACCGACTGTGGGAGAGAACAAACAAGATTCCAGTGGAGGAAGAAATAAGGAAGAAGCGTTGGAAGTAGATAGAACACACATTGAGGAAAGCACCCGACTGCGTCACACGGTAAGCCCTTACTTGGAATCCTCAAGGCCAAATCGGAAGAGGAAGATCAAAGAACACATCACGCCGAGAAATAGATACAGAAATGGGAAGAACGAACAACAATCGGATAGAAGTAGAAAGGAAACCTAGAACAGAATGGGTTGGAGAATGCTGATCGGTGGCCTATGTTCCATTGGGGGTAACAGGCCTAAGTAAGTAAGTAACTGTTATATCCGAATGAAGAATAAAGGAAAGGAATAGTAAACGCTAGGAATTATTCATAGAATATTATTACATATATTCTTATTGGCTAACTATTAAGTAACTAGATTATTTATATATCCCTTTTATCATAAACTTTCATATGACCTATTGGCTACAGCAATTCGGTCTACCGTTCTTAACTTATTCACAAGTCATCAGCTACACTATCCCACATTCGCAGCCATTTTTGACTTAATCTTGTATAATTATTTTTTTTCATTTTATGCTATCATGTGGTCTGTTCTGCGTGTATATAAACCACATAGATCTGAAATAAACAGAGGAGGTCGAGATTTGTGTTCTGGACTGAACGGGCTGTAGCAGGCGTTAAGTTACCTTACTGAGGACTAACAAGGACCCAGAGTTTACTGAAGGCTGCTAGTGTTGGTAAACGCGTCATTGGTGAAGCATAGAAGTAGGTATTCCGATTGGCGATTTTGTCAAATGATATTTTAACGGGCTATGTGACATAAAATAAACTAATAATCTATGACGTCCAATGACGCTGACGACAAATTTGTACGTTGGTGGGTCAAATAAGTACATTGAATTCTCACTCAATTACTGGATGACCCTGACTTTTTTTAAGTGAAGGTTGAATTCGTTAATTTCTAACTCCGTTACCAATTTGCTGTGTCCTATAACCAACCACTACTCGTAGATTACCTCAAGCAATCAATTATATAAATGAATAATTGGCTATTCTGAAAAAACATCTCTTTAAAAATGGATAACCGAAGAAATTTATTATGAAATATGGAAAAGAATATCCCATAGATTGTAAATAATCAACTGTTGGAACGAAACTTGTCCTCATTCGCCTTCCGTTCGAGGGAGATGAGATTTCAAGATTCTATGAGAGAGAAGAAATTTCCGTGCTGCTCAGTCGGTTTCACTATGCAGAGCATATTCTTAATTATGCCATTCAAAGGTAGATCATTACCCTTCTGACGTCACCTCCAATTGCATTTATGAATTTATATGTCCCTAAGATAACACGTACATAGGAAGGAAAGAGAGAATGACCTCTACAAAATTTTCTGAACACCTTCCTAGGAAACCATAGCTGAAACGGTGTAAAGTCTTTACAAATGCAATTGCCAGACACGTTTTGTATAATTGACATGAGGTAAATGTAAGTAATGCATTTAAAATTAATAATAGATAAAAACATCAGCGTTACTCCGTTTAACAGAAAGTGTGAATGGCCTTTGTCTGCCCTGGTGATCGGGGAGTTATCTAATAACCTTTATTAATATTAACGTTTAATCTCTTTTTCAACCATGTACTCAACCTTTTATCTTTGTTTTTATTTCGTCTTTTGATATTCAGCTTCTGCTTAATCATGCTGATGTTCGCATGTTTATTTATTTTATCATGTTGAACGACTACCTAATCATTTATTAATCACATTACCTTTAAATAACCTCTGAATTATTACATTCCAGTATATAAACACTCATCGATCTTAACTAAGTTTATTCATACACTTTGTATCCCTATTCTTCTTGTTATTACAATTTTGGTTACGTTTCGAACTAAAGTATGCTGAACATTTGCTAATAATTATATCAATAATTGTAATTTTAGGTTGTATGCAGCAGATGAGAAACTGTGAAATATAATAAATGCATTTTATTTTGCAAACTTTGTTATTCTTTTTTGTCTAAATTTGGTTGTATGAAATCAGTTTTGGTATGTGAATGGATTGTTACATGACGTTTTAGCAGAAGGTTATTTGATGAGTAGTTGGTGTATACTACGCAATTTATGTTGTATTTTATTAGGCATGAAAATTTTCTTACCGTTTTATCCATTTAGTATTATATTTCATTATCTAGTTATAAAGATACTTCAAATCCACAATTGGTACTTCTTTGTAAACTGTTTCTTTTATAGACTGCAGCTGCCTGCCAAGTGGTGTTCATACAAACAAGACTGGTATCAAAGTACCAGGTGAGTCACACTGAATTTTTATTCATTTACTAACTGCATTCACTGAACAAAAATTAACTCATCTTTGTATCGTTAGTTATTCTTAGTTTTGAAATGAATAGTGTTACGTATTTATTATCTGAAGATCATAAATACAGGGGCTGTTTGTTCATCATTTCGTGTTATTCTAGGTGTGTACATAAAACATTTAAGTGCCCACCAGGGAATGTGTGTTTAGCTACTTGATGTAATAGTAGTAAAAGCTTGACTCGGAATGCTTCCACCTTAAAAGATAGATAATTTGAACCAACTGAGATCAGTATAGCTCAACGGTAAATTCTCTGACGGACAACGAGTGAAGCAGTTTTGAGTCCCACGAGGAACATTATTTCCAACAAGATTTCAGATGCCAACTAAAACTTAACTTGACTAATACATGTCGATCGATACACACAATTAGATAACATGGTATTGGCTGCTGCCCTATGGCTGGTAAGCGTATCTGCGCGTACCCTTATGAAAGGATAAACATATGACATGTTTGCTTTAGAATAATGAAAACCACACGAATTACATGCTGATGTTTTTAAAAAATCTTTTTTCAGCTCTTGTAATAGACAGAAGAGCCCGAATTTCATGAGAAAACGACGAATTTTCAGGAAGAAACATTTCTTTCCATCAGCTGAAATAAAAATGGATTGATTTTTCCAATTTTCAAGTTAACGTTTCTTATATTAAGTCTCACTATTTATTTCATTTTTCTGTTGATTAAAATTCAATCACATTACGTTGTATTTTTTATTTTTATTGTATTGAAAAGTCACTAGGGAGCTAGGTATATGTAACTTCTAGCTTTATTACTCTGGTATTTGTCGACGACTCTAAGTAATACACGGAGAACTGTTGAATATCTCATTATTTACTACTTAACTTGCAAACGTATTCATTACTATTGAGTCAAAGACTGATCTGGAAAGTCAGTAGTTTTAGAGAAGTAGAATATAACTCCTTTTGAGATAGTTATAGATGTATTTCGTAAAAGTTGAGGTTTTTAAATGGACTCATCATAATAGTTGTTGTGGATTGATACGTTGTTTTAGTAACACCAATTACATTCATTAAAAAACAGTTGGACGGGTTTCAAGCAAAATAATAATTATAACTAGTTGAATAGGTTAGTTAATTTGTTGGCAAGGATTCTATTTTAGAATGATTTTATTTGGAGCCATTTGAGAAGAATGTTGTAAATAATGACTATTCATATTGAATCAAGGTTTTAATTATAAATTGTTCAAACTCTTACCGACTACTGAAATCATACAACAGGACGATTAATTACTCAGAATGCAAATTTTATTAATAGTGATTGCAGGGTTCAATCGCTTGTAAACGATAATAATCACTCAACAGATACGGTTGAATAACAAAATCTGAAATGAACAGTGTTAGTACTTTTAGTAGAATAACAAACTTAAAACGACATCGAGTACATTTCAGCCAATTCTCAGTCAACCAGAAAACGGTTTTGATATATATAGTTTGCTAAAAAAAAAGATAATAACATTGCAAAATACAAAAGGGAATTTCACATAATCACTTAATTTATAAAAGTCTTCTGCAGATCACTCTTCTAGTAGATTGAAAAATGATGACATAAAACTCCTCCAAATGGATACAGATTATCTGTCTCTTCGAACCTTAGTAGGGACCCAAGATCCCATATATTGTTTTTGATTCGGGATAAGGGTTTGAGATTTTTATCATGAACTAACATAAGCTATGTTGTGAAATTGTTCTACAACCAACTGGATAGGTAAATTTCACCCTGAATATAACACACAATATGATATTACTTTTGAGACGTGTTTGGCTGACTATCAACTATTTCAACCTTAAATGAGTAGTGTGTCACAAATATCAGACTTCTTGCGCTTTCATGGTACAGTAAAGATGAACTGGGAGTTTTCATATGGATCGAAGGCGTGACTGGGATACGAGAGAACATTCAGCATTTCATTCTAGCTAGCATAAATAAGAAGTGATATCTATTATCCTAACGCATTTGAAACCCCATATTATGAAGAAGATTGTGGCAACTGATCGATTCCGTAATAAAAATCGACAAATATACTGTGGTGAATAACCAGTACACTTAGTGTCGACTTAAATATACCATGTTGTGTTTAAAACCATAATAATAATGATACAATGCAATCTCACACAACGTACCTCGAATTTGAGTTCTTGATTGTATGTTGTTGAAGTACTAGACTTGTTGGGATTGATGTATCCCACGATAGCATTTTAGATTCACATCTGGCATCGCAATCCGAATGGATTCAAGTAAAATGGTGAATTTAGCTGTCAACGCGTCACCCAAGAAGTGGAAGATTATTTAAGGTGTTTCGATGCTTGATGTTTGTCACATAACTTTGAGGAAGATAATAATTCAGCTCGTTACTGGTAAAGAAAACTTCACATGTAACTATTCTAGGGCTACCATCTGTCCCAAGCTCGGCTAAAGGAAGAGGGTTAGGCATTGGATCAGCATCTGCATCCAGTCAAAAACAATCTACATTTTAAAAAATCCTCAGAATAAACAACTTAAACCATTTTAGCTCTGTCCTGAGGTTGAAGGAACTTCATTCAGGAGAACTATAACAACCCACAGTGAAAGTCGATATTCTTCGGAGGTCCCAAGCCCATACAAAGAAGGAGGGTTGGGAATGGGGTCGGCAACTCTGCTCAGTAGAAAACAATCTTGCTTAAAAATCACTAACCAGAATAAAAGATTTAAATCATTCAAATTCTACCCTCCGAGTTCAAGGAGGAATTATAACGCTTCATGATGGAAGCCGAGATAATTCGGAAGTCACGAGGCTGATGCCCCGTCTAACAACCAGAGCAACAATTAATATAAGTACATAGAACGTCCGGACGATGTGGTAGATTGGGAGGATTAAATAAATAGCGACGTAAATGAGATGATACAACCTGGTGGTGCTCGGAATACGTGAAGCACATTGGACCAAACCTGTATAGAAAGGGTTAGATCCTGCGTCCTCTGGTTATGAAGAAGGAAATCCGTCCCACAGACGAGGAGTTGTAATAGTGCTCCACAAAGAAACACGTAATGCACTTATAGGATGAGAATCTCATGGATCCAGAACAATCAAAGCATCATTTAAAACAAAGAAGGAGGGAATCACAATGAATGTTATGCACTCACTATTGATAGCAATGGAGACAGGGAAGATCAACTATACTAGAGGCTGTAGTCGGTCACAGAGAAAAGTTCCGGAAAACACCTGAATACCCTGATGATAGATCTGTAGCATGGCGTCGAGTCGCGTTTGTCTATGATCACCACTACAGGAAGACTACGTGTCAGTTAACCGATAAAATCCCCCGTAAGCCAAATATTAGAAGGCAGTTGATGGCTGTAGTCAAGATGCATTTACTGGCGATCTCGTGGTATCGAAAGAATACCGAGATCGTGCCAGGTTACAAGTGTGGTTACTGAGCGTAATCGAATTCGTGCAAGATCACAATCGAAGGAAGGAAGAATGTATGTCTTTAGTACAGTCAAACAAACAAGCACAGTAAAACAATCACTGGTACAATTGGTTATAATAATAATTGTTTCCATTAAACCAATCGCGTTCTCTTGATAAAAGTAGGACACTACAGATCTAAACACCAAGATCGATATGGGAAACACCGGGTATGGAGATACCATGGGACGACATGGATTAGGAGAAAGGAACGAGAATTGCGAGAGATTTGCAAATCTATGTAAATCCAACAAATTGGTTGTAGGCGGCACAATATTTCCACACAAAAGCATATACAAAGCCATATGGGTTTCGCCGAATCACATTACACAGAAACAGATCGACAATATTTGCAACAATAAAAAGCTCACAAAGAAATTTGAAATGTAAGAACCAGGAGAGAAGCTGACACAGCATCAGATCACCACCTAGTTGTGGCGAAGATGAAACTGAAGCTAAATAAGCAATGAACAATAAGGGGAACAGCGTCGCAAAGGTTCAATACAATCTAAACATGAGATTCTAGACATCCTAGACATTAAGGTTTTACGAAATACAGTCCACCATTAAGCCAATTTTTCAATATACATTGTTCCATTCTTAGTCAAATCATAATATAGTACGAACACCAATCTTGTTTACAACTTCCTAATTTTCAAAGGTTCTCCAGTTGACATCACTCTAGAATGAAAAAATCTTCAACTGAAGATGATCTAGAACCTGAGATTTTTCTTGGTTTACACGCTCAAAATTACATTCCTCAGCCCTTTGCTAGTTTCGTTTCTTGAGCTAAAACAATAAGTACTTCAAAATAAGGTCATTCAGTCTAAGGAATTTTATGTCTACAAATGTATTCATCTTAGTTATAAATAATCGTAGTCATTTCAATGTCGATTAAAGTACAATTACCTATGGACATATGACTTCAAAGCTTTTACATATTACAACTGTCAACTTTTAAAAAGGGACAACAAAGTATTGTTGACTTAATAGTCAACACAATAAGATCGGTTGTAAATTAAGCAACCAGACTTATTTGTACTCTTTAATAAGGCAGCCAATAGTGAAACTTAGGTTTGATAAAACATATCAGATCACGTAATAATAAACGTGATTTGCTTAACATAACAGTTATTAATTAAAATGACTAATCATAAGATTTTGCAAAATATTTGTCCTAAAATATGACAAGATATTTTCGTTTCACTCCATACCATTGTTACCTTCGTCTAAATTTCATTCCTTTCATTATAGTGACTCATCAGTGTCCATATATTTTATGCCTCATCTCTTTATCTGACCTTAAAAACCTATATTTAGGATCTTACTATTAACATAAATATTTTAATCACCTATGAATACACCCAAGTACAAAAATTCAGTGCATTTCCTCCCCCCCCTCCCCCAAAGAAATTCTAATACACATAAATGAAATAAATTTTACATAAACTGAATAAAGAAATAACTCGTGTTTATTTGCCATGACTATGGATAAAGTAACACTGTGTGCTATTGATGTCAACATATCAAACAACAATGAATTTTAGCAATTTGTAGCAATTTCTCATTGTATATCAAATTTTATATTGAAATTCATTGTAACTATGACTGATAAGTGTTTTCTCAATGCTAATTTCATTGATTAAATACTCATACTGCCATAATTCAATAAACAAGAAAATGTACGAATTCATGCTAACAACACTAATAATATGTGCAAAATCACCGTCTATTATATTCATGATTCGTTATTATAATTTATTTATTAAAAAACACTTAGTTGGTAACAATTAATTCAACATGATCTATTCGTCTGGTTTAATAATGTTTACATACGTTTAATTAGTGTAACTTTCCTCACCAATGGTTCCATAACAAAGAGAAGACCTCGAATTTCTACTTTGTATGAGCTTATTTTCGCAACTATCCACCTTTTTTATGCTTATTGACATCACAGCGAAGTGCCCAGGAAAGAATCGCAACATCCTGATGGGAGGACGAAATCGACTAGGAGAAAGAAATGAGAATGGTTACAGATTTGAAGATCTATGTGCATTCAACAAATTGGTTATATACAACACAATAT